ATAAACTAATGACACAAACACTGTATTAATCATTAAGACATACAATGTATAAACTAATGACACAAACACTGTATTAATCATTAAGACATACAATGTATAAACTAATGACACAAACACTGTATTAATCATTAAGACATACAATGTATAAACTAATGACACAAACACTGTATTAATAATTAAGAAATACAATGTATAAACTAATGACACAAACACTGTATTAATCATTAAGACATACAATGTATAAACTAATGACACAAACACTGTATCATTAATTAAGAACAGGCTGTATTAACTATCGGCCATTAACTATTTGGACATGCACTGTCTTTTTTATTCCGACACTGCGGTAATTAATAAGAAGTACAATCTGTAAATTATTATAGTATAAACTTATCATTTATCAATAATTTAATGTATCAATTTTTAAGACAAGTTCTTTATTAACGTTAAGTCTTGCGACTTATCAGTGTAAACATATAATAAACAGGATACTTAAATATGTACAAAAAGTCACATTGGTCACAGAAGAATGAACAACAATGCAAACATAAACAAATCTGATCGGCGTGCAACACTGTATTAATAACTATTTAGATAAGCAAGGGATTTAGAAACTGTACAGGTTAACTTTAGACAATTATCTCTCATATACAAACATATCACATTTGTTCAGTTTGAAATCGGATTTTTTCTTCAAAAATAACAGAAATAATCGTGAATGATTCTGAAACAGGAGCGCTTAGTGTATCGATTCAGTGTATAGTCTTGTAAGTTCAAATTACTGTTTATTTGGTTGTTTCAGTTATTTTTTGTAAATGTCCACTTATTGTTTAATATACGTTTAATAAACATCTAGTAAGTGTTTTGTACCTGCTAGCCGTGTGTTTCAGTTAGTTTTAATGGATGTTTAGGAATCATTTAGGTAAATATTTGGTAAATATCTCAGTTAATGGTACAAGACATGTAGATAAATAAAAATACTTTTTTAATGAAGTCTGAATTACTTATGAATATCAGAATATTAGCTCGAAACAAGTTTCGGACGCACTATCAGTTAAACATGCTAATTGATGTTCTAGTTTTGCTATAATCTATTTATATTAGATACATTAATAATTTGTGAAATTAAAATAAAATGTAATATAAATAGACATTCACAACGATGCTGTCATCATTGTCTTATTACAGAGACTAATGAACAGTGTTAATATAAGACATGTCCGCTAACTTTAGACGTACATTTGTATAAACGATCCAACCTGAAGTCAGTAAGATGATACGATTGTTTCAATTCAATATTAAATTTCTATCAGTAAATATGTGCGAGCTTTCATGATACAAAAACACTACATTCTCACCAACGTGTCACTAAAAATAATCGAGAAAAATGGAACACAACATCGAATTTAAACAAAAGAAAATATGTTGGTAATTGTTGATAATAATTAATTACATGTTAAACTTTATTATTTCTCGAATAGTAAACGCATTCTTCATTAATATATCATTAACTAAAATCAGAACGTAATACTCAATTACAACATTGTCTCTCTCTCTCTCTCTCTCGGGCGATTCAATCCGTGTGCTAAGGCCCTACATTTTATTATCCTCCTATCCTTAAAGCTGAAGAACTGAAGTCAAAGATCGTTAACTAATTATTATATGTGTGAATTTATGAGTCAATGAGACTTTTATCTTTACTCTTTATTGTCCAAGATTATCATTCCTTCATTCGTTCGTTCATTCCCTATTACCTTAAACCTTGCGGTTTATTAGTATCTCAGGTTATTGCCGTAGAAATAACAGATTAATATGACGAAAACCATTATTTTTATTTGTGTATGTGTATGTTTATGCCCAAATATCTACAGAAGCAATGCCAATCGTTGAAGAATTTGTACATGTAGCATAAATGTGAATATTTTAGTCGATGAATCTTTTGTCTTTCTTAACCATGTGATATATGTGCGAGGATGAAATATCTATTTAATACATTTTACAAAGGTGATTCTGCTACTACACATTAACCCTATGTGATCCGTAAACGCTGTACCTAACAGAACGGAGTCAATACGATTAATAAAACATAATGAAACTATGTTGTAAACAAATATGTTTTATTGTACATTTTACTCAGGTTATGTCACTGCATCTTACTAATTCTGTCACATTTAAACTTGTATCCAATAGACAATCAAACTAGCTATAATAAAACCATATTGTGATTAAACAATCATTACTTTACTGTCGCCGAGGTCGACATGTCCTGGTCCCTGGTCATCACTGCAGACCGTTATCCAATATATAAACCTCATCTACCACAAAATACCTATCATCACCGACTATAGTAACGTAACAGTTATTGGTCAGCTTTATTGTATTTTGTTTTGTAATGACGTTGACTTTTAAATCATTTCCCCCTCTCTTTCCTATCCTGTCCTCCCATAGTTTCCGTTTTTACTCATATTCTCAACCATTGTTGCATATTTCTTTCTCAAATATTATAGTCGTAAAACATGTGGTCCTCAAATCTCATAGGTATTTCTTCCACTGGAGATGGATTTGCTGTTATTGTTATTATTTGTTATTATCCTATTCTGTGTTGTTATAATGTATGTTCGATACTCTTGCTAAGTATTTCCTTATATCTTAAAGCTTGTCATGTATATTTTATATCTATAGTATGTTTGATATTCCTGTTCAATGTTTCGCTTTTCTAATAGTAAATCTTTTCATTCATATTCTGTAAATATTTCTGCTTATTGTTCATCTTAACTAACGAAACGAAAGAAATTAAATACGTTAAAACAGTAACGATTTATACAAAACGCATAAACAAAGACTGAATAAGAGTAACACATATACAATTATAATTAAACAGACATATATTTTAACAACGTTTGCCATGTCGTAGAAATATACATAACATGTCCAATATTTATTAACGGTGAATATGTGAAGGATAAAATGTTTCATATCAAATGTTCATGTTTAGCATCCGTGAAATGTTTCGGATTAAATTCATCCGTTTTCGAAAAATCGCCGCCCAAAAATTTCGTTTCTATTAAAATATCTTTAAATACTACGAGTTTCGCTAAAACAATGAAAAAAAATAAAAGTAAATCACTAGCAAATCTATAATATTAACGAAATAATAGGGACATTATTTCAGATAAACGTTTACTTCATATTTAATTTAATTAAAACATGCAACACTTTTTGTATGATTGCTATGATCTTTGCACATAAGTATTGCTTAACTGGAGGCGTCGCCGTAAAGGTAAAGAATCGAAAATACAGGTGAAATGAAGCGATGATAAAACTGTTTATCTATAAAAAGGCTGTAGAAAATACACGTTAGAAAATATATCGAGTAACAGAAATTTAAAATATTTTTATTTTTATTAGATATTTTATGACGTACTTAGCGTAAATTCCAATTCTGCGCAGTGTTTTTTTATTATTAAAACAAAGACATATCATAATGACAAATAATGTCGAAAAAAAACCAAGAATATAAACACATATCACTGGTTAACTTTCTCCAATTAAAAAATAGAAAGCTAGGCATCTTGTATTGGTAAATCTTTTTGCCGAATGTAAAATCGTAACGAAATTTAAATGATTTATTATAAACAATCAGTTCATTTTGTTTTATTTAATGTGTTTCCAATGTTTTTACCATTAATTATTAATGCCTTGATGACGAGGATATATGATAACAGTTAATTGTATAGGTTTGTTATATATTTGTTCTCTTTGTCAGCTTTAAAAGTGCTAACGTAATTAAAAGTTATATTTACAAAAGATCATGATCATTCGCAAAGTAAGACGATGATTGTGCTAACTGTTGATGGCGAATGTTTGGTATAGTCTGCTACTATTTGTCTTGGTTTAGGTTTCGGGCGGTATGAATAATTAATCTGGATCTTGGGCTACATGAGTAGTTTCTATAGAAATTGATGTAATCAAAATGTTACTCTGTTATTAAGAAAAAATAATTGACACTGATCTTTAAAATTTATGACTCCGATATTATCTATTTTAGTTTGTTGTATACCCGCTTTCTTCTTTCCTTTTTTCTCTTTTTCTGTTATGTCTAAAATGATAATAATGAATTGTTGTATCTATTTCGTGGTAACTTATATGAAGTAAGAATGTATCAGAAAAAATATGATTTAAAAGCTGGCATTTTTGTGTGCGTGTTTTTCTTTCTTTTTATATTCGTTTTACACAATATTGCAAGGAAGGTTTAGTTAATAGAATACGAATTATATTTCATATTTATAAATAAAACAAAATAATCTAGTAATATTGACTTTATTCCTAATAGGTCTGAAAAATTAGCTTTCATATGAACAGGTTTTCTTTGTGGATTTTTTTTTTAAATTATGAACATTTTAACAACACGACCATAAGTACGGTTAGAAAGGTATTTCTTAGGCATATTTAGATATCGGTAGATATTGATACCTTCGGTTACAGGATGAGTGTGTCATGGTTTTCCCTAAAGTATGTTGTTCTCTGCCGGGGAGAGCGTCACACATATTGGTGTATATAGTACAGGTGATTTGTTGGTGTTTGGATATAATAGTTATATTAATATTATTTTCAAAATTATATCAATTTTCAAAGTTTAATTATTATTTACTTGGAATATACGAGCAGAGTATAACTATTTTGTTATTTCGTGACGACAGGTCTCTGGATCCGCCACTGTCGTCACTTTGGCGTCATGTAATGTCAGAGGGAAAGGAATTTGGCAAAACTTTTATTGTGTTAGTTTTGTTCTTTATTATGTATTTTAATTTTTATCGAATATTTTAGTTGCTTTATATAAAATACACTGCAGTATATTTTATCAGGAAAACAATCAGAACACAGTGGATTTGAAAGAGACTTCATCATATGAAACACAAACAAAGTTTATAATAAAGTAAATATGATGTATTGTCAAACAAGAAATGAAAATAAAGACAAATATTTGGATAAAAACTTACCGGAGGTCGGGATTAGAAACGGGTGCTCGGAATGTTTTGGCATGAATCCCTGGGCATGCTGAAAAAACTGGTGCGGGTAGATGACATGAGCGCCCCCTAGACAAGGGTACCCGTATTCTGAGAGACCTGGATGACGTACTAGCGCTGAAAGAGAACTGACGTCACGACAAAGTTGTTTTGGTTTGTGAAGTAAAATGTCTTCGATGAAAAACGAGGTATGACGAGGAGCGGGGTGTCCTTCCGAGTTGAACGGTGTGAGGTTCATGTTGTCGTGGTAACCGAAAATCCAATTTCTGAAATTAGTTAGAAATAATTGTAAATCAAATATTCATGTAATGCTTGGAATAATCGTTAATATCAATACAACAATTTCTCATTTTAATGAAGGATAACAATGAAAAATACGATATTTGTTTGTTTAAAAGTTGATATTATAAATTAAATGACATTTTAATCTCAAAGAAGGAATTTCAAAAATTATTGTGTACCTGTAATAAATGAGAGATTTAGATTATAATGAAATTGAAAACTATCTCCTGTTTTAACACCAAGTTTTTGTCGTACAACAAATGAAGAACAAAAAAACTAAGATGCCGGGATTTTGTAAGAAAAGTTTTCTCTTATTTGGTACATTAATTAATTGACCTATCAATTATAAACTTACGTCGATAATATAATTTGAAGATAAACTTTTAAACAAATAATCCCAATTTGAAGCTAAAGTGAGTAGCTCCCTATGTTGGCGCGTGCGTCGTGTTCAGACGAGCCAGTCTGTGTGAGGGGAGGATGTTACAGCGCTCGACAGAGATAAAAATCAAATCGCTAAATACTATCCTCTTCAACAAAATGCACAATTATCCCTCCGCCTGGACTATTTGTCGACGGCCGCACGAGCCTAGAATGGCGGAGGAAACCGGAGGTGTAGTTAATCAAATGTTATTAGTAAATGGATGAAATTAATCAGCGCAGGGGACTTGTTAATTCCACTTTAAAACACTCTAATTCATCATTTCCTTCTCCTTCCTCTTGTAATTTGCTATTCCGGTCGCCTTATAGCGTTGATTCGTGATCATTTGAGATTGTCATGAAGCCATCTGAGCCCTTATGCTTCTGTGTAGAGTATGGGGCTAATTAGCGACTCCGGCTTGGAAGGAAAGTCGGCGTGTCATTGCGAAAGCGGACTCGGAGATGATGCTTGTCTCGCTAACCGCGTCGGGATGATAAAGAAGTTAGGAAGAATAGAATACAATAAATAGTCGTGATCCGGATTCAGGGTTTTCTATTTTCTCTATTAGTTTCTCCTTTAATATCATTACAGCGACAGTGTTTTTGATAGAATCTAATTATGATTAATTAATAATACAGAATTCGTAAGAGCGTAATGTTAGTTGCCGCAGAAGTTTTGATCTCACACGTCAAGATGAAATTAGTATGTTACAGTCCATGTTATTTTATCACAGTCCATATCACTTTATTACAGTCCATTATTTCCGAATTCGAATATCGTATATACACTTTAAGTAACCCGGAAGTAGTCATTATAAGTCAATGTTTCTACATAGCTTCAACACGTGTTTGCCGATATCATCATACTTTGTGTTGCAGTAAAAAAGTTTACTTTGCTTGGCTTGTTACAAACAAAATGTTCAAAACGTTGATTGTTTTTAATGATTATCTATTCAAATTTTCTGTGATTATCGTCATACACGACTTACTTTTATTGGTTGATACACACATGTTGGTCACAACATATTTTCCCTTTGAGTTGCTGAAAACCAATTATTCTATTTTCAGGGATTGCTTTTTGTAGCTTGTAAAACAAAAATGTCTCGTCGAAATCTTGGCTGTCAAGCCAGATGTTCCTGGATAGTTTTTGGACAAATAGGCCTTTCAAAACGCTTGTACGAAACCAAATAACAAAACACTTAACATACAAAGATGGCCACGAATAGTTTTGGTAAAAACGTGTTTGTTGTATTTATTTGAATCGTCAAGAGGAGGTTGTGAAATCAGTTCGTTACAAAAACGTAAAAAAGTAAATTGTGGGGCATTGTTTAAAAAACAGTTAATGCATTATTGAGTTTAGTATCGCTGATATTCGACAAAAATCCGACGAAACATCTGTACGGGCTGAGTGTCCAGTGACGTTTCAGCTATCTTCATTTCAAAAGACCATGTTTGGGAGAAAGGATGATTGATTTCTAACAAATTATTTAAAATCGTAGAATAGTAATACGTTATTAAACTTAAATAAGTTTTTATCATTGTTTCACTGCTGTTTCTAGTTTTCAGACTCATTTCGTAAGAAACGAGAGAGGACGCATCGAGAAAATAAGCACGAAATAACAGCCAAGTAACAGAAATAAAAAAAAAACAGAAAGAAAAAAAGGAATAAAGTAATTAAAACAATTACAAAAAAAGAGAAACAGAAATAAGAATCAAGAAATGAGAAATAAGATAAAAAGAATGTAGAATAATAAAAAAATAAAAAATAGGCAACAATTAATCACCAAGAAGCAATAAAAAAAATCATGAGAAAAAAGACACCCCACCGAACCAATCAAAACGTAACAATAACCAAGAAACAAGTAATTAAATTAAAATGTCGAACGAAAAAGAATGGGAAGAAATAAGAACAAGAATAAACGTGTAATCAAGATATACCTAACAAGCAACACGAAACAACGATCATCAATAAATATGTAACAAGTATGCAACAATATGTAGCAAATAACTAGCAACCAAAGTCAGAAATACGAAACAAAAAACAAAGGAACTAAAACCCTAGAAAACAAGACACAAGCAAAATGAACACTTAAATGATGAAAACAACGCATCAAGAGTCGGGAACAAAACTCTCATTAATATAATGTCATTCGAACAACCGAAGAAACCTTTAATAAATCGAAAACAAACTATAACAAATATAAAAAATAAACACAATAATATAATGGTAAATACTACGTGCCTAAAACAGTAGGGGTTTTATGTGTAAGTTAATACCTGGCAAAGAAAGTTAAAAGCTCGCTTCCTTCGATAGAAATAGAGTTTACGTATATCAACGCTGCAAAGTGAGCTGTATTTAAGGATTGACTTGAATGAATATTTATGTGATTGAGCCATAACACTAAAAAGGTGTGTAATCCTTTTAAAAACCGTTCTACGGTTTATTCAGGGTACACTCCTGTTTTATGTTATGGCTCAATAGCGTAAACAAATCATTAAAGTTTATACTAATTTTAATATAAATAAAAAGACGAATACATATTTTGAAACATTAAATTTGATAAATCACGCATCAAATGATGCATTACACAAAATCAATTAAAAAACAATATGCCGACGCCAAAAAGAAACTGTTTCCATCATCCAATCAAAACGCTTGTTACAGTTCGTGGGGTTTCATTCACCGTAATCGACAAATTCAGTTGTTTACATGTTTGTATTGAGATGTCTGTCACTACTGAGTGAAAATGAAGCTACAGTTGTTTTAAGTTCAATCACTCAGCAACACAGGTGACAGAACACAACTTCCGGCCGGACCGAAAGTGGTTCTTTCGTCAGTTTGTTATATCATGAGCTGATAACATAAAAAAATAAACCAATAGAAATACTTGCTTCAAGCAGGATTAAGTTATTGTTAGGTATTCGCACGATATCGTAAGATGTCGGATAAGAAACAAGAACAAAAAAAAATGAAAATAAAAAATCATAACAATATCAGCAAGAAACAATAAGTGGATTAAAAATAGAGAAAAAACAGGCGACAAGAAACAAAAAAAAATATAAAAAAATTAAGACACAAGCAATCAGCAACTACAGACAAAGACTGTTTCACCTGTCCCGATGCTTGAACGGTTGACTTTTCGTAAGTACCGAATAAATATATAAAAGGATATCACACATCACATCATCTTTGATTTCTCTTCATGAACCATACAAGACAACAATGTTATTCAGATATAATCTACATTTGTGTCTTCTACCTAGAAAACCCTGGACAGACATGAGTTTGTCCGCTTGTGCTCTTTGCAAACTTGTTATGTGATCTGATACGAGTATGTAAGCTGTGTAGGCTCTATAGGGCCATTTTCTGATATACTCGGACGAATCGATCAGACTTAAAGGAGACAAATCCTGTTGAGCAATCGCAGAAAGAAACGATTTTCGACTTTTACGATTTAAACATATTCATTGCCCCAAATTTGAACGGAGTATTCGGCACACTTATATGAATTCCTTTTTTTCCTCTAATATATGTATACATGATAGCATCTAACAAGGCATACAAACCATGTTTTACAATTATCATATTTAACTTAAAACCTGAATCACCAATAATTACAGAACCATAAACAATAAACAATATCACAGGACCATAGCAATCACCAATATCACAGGACTATCGTTTCGCACTGATATTGATGGACAGTACATGTTTATGCAAATTTCCAATCATAATCCAATAAATACGTTCTAAATCGATATCCAAGTGTATATTGCTCCAATGATATTCCCATTTGTTCCTGTTACAATCACCTACACACAAGTCAGTTATATCTACTGTGAAAGCATGTCATTGGTCAGAAGAAAAAACAGCATGCAATGTCTTTTCAACCTTATTAATATTACTGCAGTACAAAGCATTGTCACGAGATGCTTATTATTGTTTTGTTTCGACACAGTTGACAGTGTTTATTTATAGCACNAAACAATATCACAGTACCATATTCAATTAACAATATCACAGGACTATCGTTTCGAACTGATATTGATGGACAGTACATGTTTATGCAAATATCCAATCATAATCCAATAAATACGTTCTAAGTTGATATCCAAGTGTATATTGCTCTAATGATATTCCCATTTGTTCCTGTTATCACCTACACACAAGTCAGCTATATCTACTGTTAAAGCATATCATTGGTCAGAAGAAAAAAACAGCATGCAATGTCTTTTCAACCTTCTAATAATCAACAAAACGATCATTAGATACTATAGTTGTACCGACATAAATAAAGACACTATTGTCAGCTGTATTAATATTACTGCAGTACAAAGCATTGTCACGAGATGCTAATTATTGTTTTGTTTCGACACAGTTGACAGTGTTTATTTATAGCACATCGGTATACCTATAGACCTGAAGGTCTCTTTAGTAACAATAATTGAAGTGTAGTCGGTTTAAGGAGCTTTGACGCCCATCACGTGATTTGCATCATATCGAGTTATCATTATAACAAATTATTGGGGAAAAACGTTTACCACGGTAAAAATGAGAAACGATGCT